AACAGTCACAGACTGATGGTTACCCTTTTACTTACATGCTAGTCCCTTTCCGGGAAATCACAGTTTAGACGCTGGTGGAGGCGGAGACGGTTTCTCTCAGGATTGCACTGTGGCCCTTTCAAGGACCCAGAATTATCTCTGCCACCTCTCTTCACTCCTCTCCCCTTTTTTAGAAGAACTCACCCCGTTTTGGTTCCTGGTGATGCTCTTGGCCAGTGGGGGTGCTGGGGCAATGACTGCTCCCAATCCACACCACACGCACACACACACACACACACACACACACTTACATGCTTGCACACACAGCCACCACCCTCACCACTGTCAACAGCAACAGCAAATCTAATGAACAGCCTTCACTTGAACAGTCTTCGCTCCCCCCACACTGCAGGTCCCACCCCTGCGTGTTTTCTTAAACCCTGATACTTGGTACTATCTTTCTTCTACTCCACAGGAAACTTGGCAGTAGGCAACGGCATGGAAAGGCAAGCAGAAATAAACCACAGAGGGAAATGTCAAAGCGGTGGCTTATCTGGGATCATCATAACCGGCATGGAAGGGTGCTTGTGGTACTAGGTGCCGTCTTAACTGATGTGGACGAATTCATGCTGGTCTTACGGCACCTCAGTGTGCCGTGTCAGCCAGCTTTGCACCACCATCACACATATCTGAGACTTACAAGGACAGAAGGCAGAAGCTTTCTTTAGGGTTTAGAGGTCCCCTCCAGGATCAGGCGACCTCCTTGCTCTCAGGACTCAGGCCAGGGTGCCAGCTGGCAAGAGTGGGGGACTGTGTAGCTGAGCAAAACCACTCCCCTCCTAGCCAAGGAGCAAAGAGAAAGAGAGGAGGGGACTAAGGCCCCAGATCGTCTTCAAGGACACTCCCGTGGACTGAGGGCTTCCTGCTAGGTGCTATTGCCTCCCAACAGTGCCACCCTGGGGACCAGTCCTTTGACACACGCACACTGGGGTCATCTAGGATCCACATCATAGTATAAGGCAAGAAGCTTGATCATCCTTAGCTAGGTGCAGTCAAAAAATTCAGTGCCAAGCGCAAGGTCCCGAGTTCGATCCCCGGTACCAAAAAAAAAAAAGCACTGGATGTCTTAACTTTCAAAAGATTTTATTACTACTAAGACACATTGCCATGAATCCTTTTCACAGCACTCTCCCTCCCTTCAAACACACTTATCCTATCATCTTTGCCAGTCTCTGGAGCAGGTCTAGAGTCTTCTTTCCTGAGTGTCTTTAGTTGCACTGTCCTGGCTGCCTTGATGTTCTACATCAATTCAAAATACTGACCTTCCATGGTCATTTTGATGTTGGGAAGAGCCAGACATCACACAGTGCTAGAGCCAGTGAATGAGGTGGATGTCATGTTTTTATGACCCACCTTTCCATTGGATGACAGTGGGCAGCAGAATTCACTGCATTTTTTTTATCACACCTTATAAAGATACTCAGGAAAGAAGACTTCCAGAACTGTTGCAGAAAGTGGCAAAACCAAGATAAGTGTATTTGAAATAAGGGGAAGTATTTTGAGGGGGATTAATGGCAGTGAGTCTTTTACTATAATGAATTTTTATTTAAACAATCACCATGTTTCAATTGCCCCTTCCTCCCATATATACATATATGCAGGGTTTTTTTTTTTAAATGTTTACTGTCATCGCCAGTTCATAGGCTAGAATTGTACTCTCCAGGATGGTAGCCACTCAACACTGGGGCTGGCGAGCATTTGAAGTAAAAGCCAGTATAAAGATGTGCCTAAGTGCAAAGTACAAGATTTTCAAGACAATAGAAAAAATGTAAATTACCTACTTATATCTTTGATACACTGTTGAGGTAATATTTGAAATATCATGGCTTAAATTATATCTACTACTAAAATTGGCTTTGCCCATTTCCTTTTGCTTTACTCACGCTGGGTACTAGGAAATTTAAAAGTGCCCTGTGGCTGACTTCATGTTCTTACTAGACAGTGCTGCACTAGAGGCATGTTCCATGCTTTTCTCCAGCCAAGTCAAGTCGAGAATGTGAACCACACACCATGGAATCTCAGCTAGTCAGGAGGCCGGAGCAAGAGGACTGGAAATTCCAGGCCAGTCTGGGCAACTTTGTGAGCCCCACCTCAAAATACAAAGGGCTGGGGGTGTGGCTTAATGGTAAAGCACCTGCCCAGCATGTGAAAGGCCCTGGGCTCAACTCCAGTATCAAAAAGAAAAAGAAAAAGAAAAGAAAAGAGAAAGAAAATAGACCAGGGGCATGCGCGTGGCTTGGTGTTAGTGGCCCTGGAGAAGGTATCTCTCTTCTTGGTGTGCATCTGTCCTAAGCCCTGTCTTAGGCTGCTATCGTGGCTCTCAGCCCAAGCACCTGTGAAGTGTCAGGCACCTGGGCACACGGGTCCCCTTGGAGGACCTTCTGATGTCCAGCAGCCCCAGCATCTGGTTCACAAGCCTCTGGGTGACTTCAGGAGGCAGCCAGCCCTGGGGGTTCAGCTCGGTGGCTGAGCATTTGCCTAGCGTGTCTGAGGTCTGGGTTTGATCCCCGGCACTGAAGAAACAAAAATGCTAAGATCCACCTGTGTCAGGATGAGGGGTGGACACCAAGTCCCAGGGATGGGCAGGGCACACAGGGTGGCCAGGTCACTGTCAACTAAGTCTCTGCCTGGACCAGGGAATCAAGTTGTAAAAAGGACCAGGCTGGCCAGAGCTTGTGTTCTGGTGAGGAATCTTGGAAGGAGATCAAAGTGTTTGGAAACCTGCTGGCGGGACGGCCTCACCCTATGAGTCACAGAGAGGGCTTAAGGAGAGGGAGAGAGAAGGCCCAAAGAAAATGCCTGTGTGTGTAGTGACACGTCCCCTGCCCTGAGGGCTGGTGACAGAGGAATAAGGTGTCTGGACCTCTTCCCTCAACACCCCTGGGCCTCAGGATCCTGCTCCGAACCACTACTCACTGGTGAGGAACAAGGCCTGGCAATAGCAGTTCTAATGTGCGAGTCAAGAGAAGCCCGGTTCACTTACACACACTTCCCTGTGTCTGTGTCTACAGCGCTCAGAATCTCAGCAGGCTCCCTTTGGAATGGAAGAGTTTATTAGAGGCAAGAAAAGGAGCTGACCACTGCCCCAACCCAGGGCTGCTGCACTCCAGCCTCAGCTCCAGGAGATTCCAGACAGATTTGGCTATGCTTGGTGAAGAGGATGGGCCCAACCTCCCTGAAAACACTTTGCTTAACTTCTCCCAGCAAAGCCAGCACTCAGGTGCGAAAAGTCGGTATCAGCTACCACTGATCCTTTGATGTTAAAAAAAGATCTTTTGCAAAAAAGAACCTGTTTCCTGAGACAGATGCCAACTCTGTCCCTCCTCCCTCCCTTCCTCTCTCCTTATCAGCTGTTGAAGGTTCTGGAGTGTTTGTTCTATAACTTTTTTTCCAATTTCACTGGGTTTCACTAAAAGGCAAACAACACCTTTGGTCTCAAATTCACCTGCTTGAAAATGGCCTGCAAAGCAATGGTATTTAGGATTTTATTCCCAGATGTGGTCAGATGATTATAATACGTCTACTGTGAGTGTCAGAGCTTTTCCTAGGCCTTTCTCTCAGGCTTCTGGGGGAGAAATCAGGCTGCTGTTATAATCAGAGCCCGGCCATCATTTCAGGTCTCTTGCAGAAGATGAAGATCAGCCCCAAATGGTGACACACACCTGTGATCCCAGCACTCAGGAGGCTGAGGCAGGAGGATCACCTCGAGGCCAGCCTAGGCTAGGTAGTGAGTTCAAGGCCAGCCTGGACTATATATTGAGACCCTGTTGTAAAAAACCAAAACACATGGGGGTCCAAGCTCCTGTGTGTGTGTGTGTGTGTGTGTGTGTGTGTTGGGGGGTGAAGTACATTTGTGAATGGAGACACATTTGTATTCAAGCCTGGTTTCCTGTCTTTTATGTTTTCTTATAGATCTAAAGTTGTAACTTCCACATGAAATGAGTGACTTCAACAGTTTCTATTTCTATCCTGCCTCCCCAAGGGGGGATATTTGGCAGTACATCCAACATCCAAAAACAAAATCCCTTCCTCTGGTTGGGGTTCAACTCTGAAAATATTATTTTTAGATTTGGAAAGGGTTCTCTCTGCCTCCCCCACCAGCACATATATTTTTACTCTCCTCTCCCAACTCCACCAGGGTCTGTTTCCTGGCAATTCAAGAAGTGAGAAATGCCTGTGCAGGGAAACCATGAAGACACAGACTGTGTTGAAATGTGGCTGGGGAGCCTGGCCTAGGAACAGACCCGGCAGTCTTGTGACGCTTCCTCTTGCTCTCTGATCTCGGTTGCATCTCGCTGGAGGCTGCCTAAAACCCGGTTTGCCACCTGCTTTCTGAGACAAGGCCAGCATGATGGTCTGCATGTGGAGATATATCTGGTAAATATCCTGTAAATATCAAGAGCAGGCCCCTGCGTTTAGGCCTCAGCTGATCTGTAAGCAGCTGTGTGCTGATGGCTTGGAAACCCTGCTACCCCGAGTTTTCCTTTCTTCAGCGAAGATTTATTGAGCACTTACTAGTGGGGCCAGGCGGGGTTCCAAGCATGGGGATAGATGAAGCCTGTGCCTGGTGGATTTTGCAACTGCTTTGCACTCTGAGCCAGGATATTAGAGGTCGCCTGAGGTCAGGAACTGTCTGCAGGGTGCTGGCTGACTCCATGTCCACATCAACTGTGACTTCCCCTCTGTCCCACTAAGCCAAGCACTGTGCCCAAGAGCCCTGAACCCCTTTCAGGTCAACAGGTGATCTTTTTCTCTTTCTGCTCTTAACTTTTGCCCTGTCCTTGCCCGAGCTTCTGAGCCCAGTGAGTCTTTCTGTGGCCTCGAGCTAGATGATCTGTCTTCAGCCAGCTTGAGCTAAGGTTCATTTTACTGCACTGCAAGCTTCAAACATACATGAGGTAGGGTGGCGCCTGACTGTGCCGACCCTCAAAGGGGGGGAAAAAAGCAAGGAGACGATCAAAGAATGTTGCAAAACTTATTTTCACACAGGATTATCGTACAGTATTACAAGGTATTATGTGCAAATTCCATTTTAAAAAATCATTTACAAAAGGAAGTACAACACAGAATGTGCTGAAGGTTCTTGCTCAACAAAAGCCAGGACTGGCAAAAGTAAAAGGTCCAAAACCCATCAAGTTACAGGACGATGCATCCCGACAGTTACAGTAACGTGTTTTTGTCTCTACCTGGTTTACACTGATATGCGACCCTCTAGTCTGTGCACTATGCAAGTTGGTTTTATAAAACACAAATCTAACCTCACCATACTACTTTATTTTTTGCAGTGCTGGGGTTGGAACCAACTGAGCCGAACCCTTTGCCCCTGCATTCTAACACAGATGGGTTTTATGGTGCTTTTCCCACTCTTTTCTTAACAGCACCTTACTGAATGCAACAAAAGCCACATTATACACTACTTGGTCTCTGCCCAAAATAACTAGATGCTGTTAGTTTTGATTTATTGGAAATGGAGAAAAAAGTGTCACCCTTGATTTTTTTTTCCTTGTGGGGCTTTCAAAATTGTTTCCAAAAGTGGAAAACATATGGAATAGATTTTCGCCACATCCCATTGCATATTTACAGTATTTTAAGCATAGTTTAAGGTTCCTTCTCTCTTTCCTACATCCTTCAAAGAGCCTGAGCCAGCAGACTACATTCCTCAGCCCTTTGTCAGAGTCTTTTTCTCTCTACCTCTCTCTACATTCATTTCTCTCCGTATTTTCAGCATTACCTGTTTAAACAAAACAAAACACAAAACGCCAAGCACAATACCACTACATGTGACGACAGTACATCAATTTCCAAAGGCATTCTGTGGCCAGTGTCAGGAATTACATTGCTTTAAGAAATCCAGCTGTCTCTCTCCTAAAAGTTGCCTGAACATCCAGTTACAGAAGAGAGACTTGTAAAAGGCAATACTCTCAAATCCAGCAAGAGATTTCTTTTTGAATATTAAATGTTAAAATCACATGCATAATTATAGAATATTTTAAAATTATAAAAATATTTTAAAAACCATCCTGACAGTTTACCTGCAACTGCTATAAAATTTTCTATGAAATATATAAAAACACAAAAGTTCTTTGTAAAAAAAAAAAAAAAAGAAAAGAAAGGAAGGAAGAAAGAGACAGAAAGGAAGGAAAAGATGGAGCCACCCACAGACCTGAGGAGTACCTGACGCACTGCACTGGACAGTTTTGTCAAACACCTGCTATGGAACGTAAGAGAGGAGCATGTACCTTATGTGTCACCCAGCACGTACCCATACATATCAGCCAGCTTAGAACCATCAAACAGGATTCTCCACTACCAAGGAGAATCCTGCTGGGTTGTTTCCTGGGTAATGCAGCTAATGATGCCCTTGGTCAAATCAGCCTGTGGATGGCTAAGTCCCTGACCCGGGGGGTCCTCGAGGAGGTGACTGCCTTTCAAGCTCAAGCCCATGGCAGGCAGGCTGGGCTCCCAGCAACCTGTGGGTTGCACCAACCAGAAGTCCAGTGTGCCCTCTATGAAGGGCTGAGGTCTTCATCACCGTTCTGAAAAATGACACCATAAGGATCGCTCTTGATGCGCTTGTAGACGAAGTGGAAGACGTGGGGTTGTGGCCGGCTATGCAACTCGGCCTTGATTTTTTGAGGATAAGTGTCCTCTGCCAGCTGCTGCCATGTTTCATCCACGAAGAGGAAGAGGCTGTACTCCTCGGGGTCATCCACCTTAAACTTCTCAGCACAAAGCTGGCAAACATCCTCGGTGGTGATGTAGGGCCTCACGAGTAGTGTCTTGCCCGTGCAGCCGCTGCCCACCTCCTGGAACGCTACCCGGAGGTAATTCTGCAGGTTTGAACAGAGACATCAGGATCAGAGTCAGAAGAGAAAACCAGACAGCAATAACTCACACAGTGAGAGGCAAGTGCAAGGTTAGACTTGTTTGTCACCAAGTCTGACATCAGGCCACAAAGCTTGGGGTACAAGGAGAGAGGCCAATTTTAATTCGGATGGTGTGTTTGTGGGGGGGTGCAGCTATGGGGACTGAGCTGCCACACTGAGTTCACCGAAGGCAGAAGAACCAGCAGGCCATCCTGCCCTGGTTTCCATCCCCAGCGCTCTCTGTAAGCCCATGGAGAAATCCCTGCATCAGAGCAGAACCACATTCAGAGCTGGGATTATTCCCAGCTGGAAAAAGAAGCCAAACAGCAGAAGAGTCTGAGCTGGGTATTGGCAGGAAGCAACTTAAAGCATCCAGACTCCAAGCTTGCTGCTGTTACCTTCCTGGGCACCATGTCAGGCTGAACTCCAAGAAACTGCTGACATCTGACCATTCTTTGAGCCCTACAAATAGTGACTTTGCAGAGTTCAACCTAACCTAGGCTCCTAACCATGGCTCTGGGTGGAATGTGGTAAAAAGCAGAAGGAGGGGGATGTGGATTCTGCCAGGGGCTGACCATGAGCCAAGTGGCACTGCAGGAAGTAGAGGACGAGACTGTGGGCTGGGCGTGGAGACGGTGCCGGGTGTGCAGCACCCGGAAACCCCATGAGCCTGAGGGGGCTGCAAGGATCCCAAACACATCCCAGACTCCCTGGAGTTTGTGGTCCCAGAGAACTCCGCCTGTTTCCATTTCTTTGCAAGGGAGACTCCCAGAGAAAATAGAGAACGTCCAGCTAAGTCCAGAAAACAAAGACATTTTCTTTTTCTAGATCTGGGCCCCCTGTTCAGGAGGGAGGGAGGGCAGCTCTCTGCCTCAACCTCCTGGCTACCTGAGGGTTTCTGGGTAACAGCAGGAAGGCTGGGGGTGGGGGTGCAGTGCAAGTTCTTGTTGTTGTTTTGCTAGATTTATGTGTCTGGAAGGGATTTCTGAGAGTCCTACAATCTTGGGAAAGAACATGCTGATCTTGCCTTTCAAGATGAGTTGATTTTGAATCCAAAGTACCTTTGGTTCTTTTCAGGGGTTTAAGTAGAATAAGAGAGAAAAAGAGAAAGAAAAGGAGTGAGGAAGAAAGGAAAGAAGGTAAGGAAGGAAGGCAGGCAGGGAAGCAGGGAGAGAGGAAGGAAGGACTCATGGACATGGAGACAAATCTATGCTGCTTCCCCACTTCTCTGCTTGGAATTGTGCTGCACAGGATCTGAGCCTGGCTTTCTAGCTCCATTTGAAACCCTCAAAATACCCTTCAGACATCTACAGGCTTAATCATAGCTTCAGACAATGAGCGAGTCAGGGATTTCTGTGTCTCGAAGATTTCTGCAGCCCAAACCAGCCTCTCCTCTCTAAAAACAAACACTGTGAGTGCTGGGGGTTGACCCTAGCAGGTGCTCTACCACTGAGCTACACCCCCAGCCTGAAGTTTGAATTTGGGTCTTTTCCCAGGCTTTGAAATGTAGCAGGGCTCTCTGTCTCTCTCGTGGTGTCTCTTTCTCTGTCTCTGTGAGCCAAGAGCACTAGGTCTATACATTTAAGGAAAAAGAAGTGAAACAACATGGTCAGAGGGCGGCTTAAGATAGCCCTGCTCCCCTCAGACCTGGGGCCCAGCAGGCGGTACTGGAGGACAGAGGCCACACCTCGGGCATGGGGGGCGCACCTGGAAGTCATCCACAGAAGGGATGGTCCGGTTGGCAGTCCTCCGCTTGTGCCACTGCCTCAGTGTGTCCCTTGTTTCCGAGCTGAGCAACCGTGCCGCCTGCTCTTCCTGGAAGTTCTTTATCAGGGACAGGGCTCCGTAGGCACTGGTCAGGTAGTAGCCTCCTGGAAAGGGAGGGCAAGTGAGTTCTCCATGGTTCTGGACTCCAGGGAGGACAGTGACAGTGCTCTGTTGTGAGTCAGGTGTGTACAGTTGTCCCCTGCACAACTCGTTCCAGAATGCTGGCTTCAGATTCCAAATCCACTGGATGCACAAATCTCTTACCTCATATAACATTTCCTATATCATACACACATGCTGCTGTGTGTGCTTTTTTCCCCCTCCTTCCCTTCCTCCCTTCTTTTCTTCTTTCTTTTTTTCCCACCATCAGATGCACAGGCATTATTTATAGATTTGTCCTAAAACGTAAGTAGGTGCCTGCCAAGAAAGTCAATGCTGTGCTGGACAGTCACTAGGGGGCGCCTCAAAGGCTTCTTAATTGGGCCCAGTGCATCTTACATTTAGGCACATCGTGTGTCAAAATATCCACTAAATCTCTACCAAGAGCCCAGGCCAGGCACAACAGAGAATGAGTTTGTAAGAAATAGAATCTTAGTTCCTGCTCTCCAAAATTTATACATTTATTAAAGAAAGCAGACACAAGCAACATATTCCTGCAGGGCCAGAAGTTCATTGCGGTTAAGAGCTGTCTGCAGAAGTGTCACTTTCCGGGCCAAAGTATTTAATTGCTCCTGGGAGACCCTGCAGAACTGATCAACCTGCAGGTGGAAATGGTTCTGTGCCTTTTTGGACCAAGCATGAGCAGCACTCTGTGAACTTGTGGCCGACAAGAACTCGAGAAAGAAAAACACCTCTGTGGTCTGCAGGTCGCTGATGGAGCTGTGGGGACTGTTTTTTACTGCAGAATAACCTAGCCAGCCCAGGGAGCCCTGTGCTTTCCACAGACATAGCCCGTGTCGAACTTCTTTCTGGTTCATGGTGCTAGGGATGGAACCCAGGGTTTCGTGCATGCAGAGCTACAGCCCAGTCCTGCTGAGCTTTCTGCTTGGAGTTCTCCTGCCCCTCCATCCGTGCTGGGGGTTCCTTATGGCAGCCTCAAAGTACCCAGTCTGGGGTTGAGAGTTACTGACTTTTACTAAACATTCACTACACAAACAAATCAGCGCTTGATGGAGTGTGAAACAGAGTTGTGGAATGCCAGTTGCTACACAGAAGATTCGCAAGGATCGACAGGGACTTTGGTGGTCAGAAAAGGCAGTGAGCAGGTGTCAGGGTCTCAGCCATAGCCTGGGGGTGGCTGTGTCCCCACAGGGGTGCAGGGGGCTCCTTGGGACTTCAGATTTGAGCCTCTGATGTGTTCAGGGCACAAAGCAGAAAACTAAAAAATGCTGGCAGTACAAAATGGACCACACTTTGAAACATATGGCTGCAATTAGGGGGAGGTTTTCCATTTCAGCGAAACTGGAACCTACCCTAAGAACTGTGCCCTCCTTGGGGAACTTATGACGCAGCCTTCACCGATGAGAATACCTGCTTAAGCAGCAGAAAAGAACTGGCTGCTGCCCACAAGCCAAACAGCCACAGAAGGGACCACTGCAGGGTGTCTGTTGTGTGCCCCTCGTGCCGACCCCCATATGTGGAGTTGCAGTTCAATGCTGTACAGGGCTGTTCTGCAACGTCAGCCACCAGTCGGGGCCACCCACTCCTCTGAGGAAGGAAGAGGCAGCTCTAGACCTTGCAAGGGGACAGGGGACACTGTCCAGTGAGCATGACTGGGAGGCTCATGGAGGTGAGGACAGCCACCTGCCCCTCTGTCACCAACACCAATCCAAGGCTCTGCCTTGCTCTGGGGCAACCCAGGGCAGAGACAGGAAGTGACTGTCTCCGGGCTGGGACCGCAAGATATGAGCCTTTGTTTGTCTTGAGTCCACAACCTCAGCAGCAGGATGGTGACTTTCTAAGAGGGTCTGGCAAGCCCTTTCCCACAGCCCCATGAGGCCGTCATCCGTACTGCTAGAATTAAACATGATGGAAGGCAAGAAAACAAAACCCAAGCCCCAAACTGTGATAAATAACACAGTGGAAAGAGGAAAGTCTGGCATGGAGATGGCACATGCTGCCCTTGAAGCCACATGTGCTTCCCCTCCTGCCCATCAGGCAGGGTCCTGGTGGCTCCTCAGAGGCCGCTGCATTCATAGTTTGACTCGTAAAGCAGGGATGTGGCCGGCTGAGAGGGCACAACAGTGACAGAGCCCACATCTGTCTGTCTGGGCAGAGACAGGATGAAGGGTGCTCCCCACAGAGAACAGGAAGTGTGTGACCGGGGCTCTGAAGGGAAAATCCAGGACTGGTGACCTCAGGTTAGGGGCTGGGGACATTAAGGCCACATCTAGTGACGCAGGCCTAGGGAATCCTGGCTGTAGGTGGACCTTTGTACTCAAGCCCAGCCTGAACTCCCTGGAGAAAACAAATTTGTACCCTCGGGCCTATTGGGCACTCCCACAGGTTTATGAGAAAGGATTAGCAGGGTTCACCGTGCACAGGCCTCGATTCTTTCTCCCTTGACCAGACAGACTCCCGAGTGATTCCCAGTTATGGCCGATTCCCTATGTGCTATGCCACAGTGACAGACATCCCAGTTGTTTCCATGATAAGATACCCAGCTGCTGCCACGGTGCTGCAGGCCTATAATGCCAGCACTAGGGAGGCTGAGGCAGAAGGATCACCATGAATGTAGCCTGGGCTACATAGTGAATTCAAGGCTACTCTGAACTACATAGCAAAACCCTGTCTTAACCCCCCCCCCCCGAAAAAGATACTGAGCTAAGATGTGTGGAGTGGGGCAGATACAGAGGAGGCTGAACCCTCCAGGGACCTCACAAACAAACCACCCAGATTTGACTTCACTGTATTTGCAGCCTAACCACAAGCAGGCACTATTTTTTAAACTGGAAAGAAAATGAATATTGTTTTTTATCTTTAAAGCAAAAATTTTTTTAAAAGATAAAAAATAAAAATGAGCCCTTCATTTATTTTGAGTGATAAAACAGCAAGTTATTTTTCAGGCAATGGGAACTGTTGTCTAATAAAAAGTTTATAACTTTCCCTTGGAAAAAGAAAACATCTTTTAAATTGTTATTCACCAGCCTCAGTAAAATATTAATTAAGCCAGGTACTGCATTTCAGCTTTGTGTTGTTTCTGAATCCCAAACTTTCTTTGATGAATGTATACTATTTTTTTGTTTTTGGTACCAGCGATCTAACTTAGGACCTTGGGCTTGCAAGGCAGGCGGCGGCACCACTGAGCTAAATCCCCGGCCCATATTTTTTAATCAGAAGTCAAAATATACTTTTAAAATAAAAGAAAATTAAAACTGCAGCTAACCCTTAAGATGTCAAAAAAGGACACTAGTAACTGCTTAGTGGGTTCACGGTTTTACTCTGAGGTGTGAAAAATGTTTTGGAGCTCTAGAAGTGGTGGCTGTGTAACACTGTGGATGTAGGAAATACCAATGAATCATTACAAAATGGTTAATATTTGGGCTGTGACTCATGGTCCAGTGGTACTGACCTGCCCACCATGGCAAAGCCCTGGTTTCAATCCCAGTGAGGGGGTGGGGTGTGAGGGGGGTGTGATTAAATGGTTAACTTTTTTTGTTCCATGAATTTCATTTCAATTTTGCCCGTAATCTCAGAAGTCTGGGAGGCTAAGGCAGGAGAACTGCAAGTTCCAGTCCAGCCTGGGCAACTTAGGGACTTATTGAGATCCTGTCTCAAAAAGAAACAAAATAAACAAACAAAAAAACAGGCTTGGGATGTAGCTCAGTACAAAAGCCCTGTGGTTCAAACCCTAGTACAGCAAAACAAGACAAAACCAAGCACCTACTTCCCCCACTTCATCAAAAACACGTTCATTACCTTCTCCATGCAGCAGTGATGGGTCCAGGAGCTCCATCATGTACTCGATCTCAATGTCCAGTTCCAGCATGTCACACTGAGCTATGACATAGGTCAGGACCGGCAGGAAGTCGTCAGCACCATACATCCTCCCTGAGATGAGGAAGAAAGGGCAGGGTGGGGTTATTTTTATTCATTTTTCTTTCACATCCTTCTTGTTGCTTTCATTAGACAGCAAGGAGTCATGGGGGGGTGTGCTTTTTATGAACAAAGGTGTGCATTTCTGGAACTGAGTGTGGTCTGTGACCCTCCTGGCTGCTAACAGGAGAGGCCAGCTCTTACAGTTTCAGATTGTCTATGAGTCAATTAAAACATTTTAGATTTTCTCCTCACTTTTATGCTTTGCATAAAAGTATTCACTAGTATCTTTAAATACCCTCTAGTAAGTAATTTTTCAATTATTTCTTTTATAATTGCTACTGCTATTCATCTCTCTCTCTTTCTTTTGAGACAGGGTCTTGCTATGTTGTTCAGGCTGATCTTGAACTCACTATATAGCCCTGGCTGTCCTCCAACTCATGGTGATCCTCCTGCCTCAGCTATCCAAGTGCTGCAATGACAGGCATGGATGCTCAGGCAATGAGTTTATTTACTTATGCTAATTCTTTGTGTCTCCTTTCCTTTTGCTTTCTGTGCACAGAAATGAGAAGAGCAAGTATCTCTGGGAGGCTGAGGCAGGAGGATCAAAGGTTCAAGCCCAGCTGGGCAATTTAGCAACTTAACAAGACCCTGTCTCAAAATAAAAAATAAAATAAAAAAGGCTGTGGATAATACAGACAGCTAAGTTAGTTAAAAATATCATAGGCACAGGCTGGGGATTTAGCTCAGTAGTTCTTCTGCTTGCCTTGCAAGTGCACGGTTCTGAGTTTGATCCCTGGTACCAAAAAAAAAAAATAAAAATATATATATATATCAATCAAGATAAGAACACATTACAACTGTGGCTATAGGCAGAGACATTTGTTGAAGAGGCCTCAAGGTAAAAGATAAAATGACTACACCTACATACTTCCCAAAGGGATGAACAATAATGACTGGTACTCTAAATAGGTATCTGTCACCTTGCATGGGGGACCAAGATCTCCTGATCCATCCCTTCCAGGAAAGGTCCTTGTTCTTTGCATGTACATTTGCTACATGACTTGCTTCCCTGTTGGATCAATACTGTCTAAGCAACTACACTTATGACCTTACTGGTTGATCATCGTTTTGTCCCACCTCATGATTTTGTACCCACCTCATGATTTTGCTCTATAAAGCCTCCCCTGCAAGTGGAGTCTGAGACAAGCCACTTTCTGCACCCCCTCCTATCCCTCTCAGGCAGGAGCTGTGCGTCCCTCAATAAATATTTCCTGCTCTTAACCTATGTTGTTCCTAGGATTCATTCTTCAATATTAGAGAACACAAATTTGGCATATTAGACATCTAACAGGTTAAGAGTTACATCTATTTCCCATTTCCCCTATATCATCCCTAGATCAGGGATATAGCTCAGTGTGCAGACCCTGGGTTCAATTTCCAGTACCAGCAAGAAAAAAAAAGGGGGTGGAGGATTCAAATCAGGAACAAACTTTGATCTGTAATTTTTCTAAATGTGCCAATTCAGAACATGCTGAATATACACTTTGGTTAACAGCAAGATATGGCAATGTTTTTAGTCCTTATTTCTAATGTTCTTTACAATGGTCGTTCTTAACTAGGAGTGACTATGGTCTCCCAGGAGGCATGTGACACTGTTGGGAGACATGTTTCAGAGCCACAGCTGGGGGTGCGGGACCAATGGCACCCTGGCTGCTCCGAGGGTCCTTCAGGAAGCAGGATGCCCCACCCCTAAAAGCATGCAGTCATCTATACACCAGCAGCACAGAGGTGAAGACCCTGTGCAGCACAGGAACCTCATCCCGCCCACATATTACTCTGGAACTTTTTATAAGTGATTTTGCGAACTACAGAAAGTGCATTTCCTGCTTGAGGAATATGCTCGCCAATTGCAAAGGCCCTGTTCACAGCTCTCATTGCCAGCCCAGAACTTGGATTTTAATGTCACCCAACAGTCTGCAAGAGCACATGCATTACTGTCTGCTCAAGTAGTGGTGATGTCTGCTCAAGTAGTGGTGAACAGAGCCCATGTATTCCCTGTTGCTTCTCCATTAAGCAATTTCACTCCAAAGTTAAGTTGGTAACAGGCCCGGAATTCCAACTATCTCAACAATGTGGTGCTTGGTCCTTACCCAGGCACCAACCACTATGACTTCTTGTTTACAGGAAACTGTACTGAGCAATCGAAAGGCTCGCTTTCGACTTTGTAAATCTCCCGTGAGTTTCAAGAACACTGCACCCACACTCCTTGCCCAAAATGGAGTAATTGATTATCACTAAAAGTCCCACTGCCCTTGGGGCTAGGTGTGAGCGGTCCGGGTTAAGCCTCAAGCTAAGCCCCACCCTGTGCTGGAGAGGGTCCTATGCAACTACAGATGCAGAAGGCACAGCATAGAAGGTTGGTGATGGTAGCCAAAAAGTCCTTCAGTTAATGAGCCCATAAGCAGAGAAAGGCTTCAAACACAGACCTCAGAGACAGGTTTCCTACCCGAACTAAATCTTTATATAGCCAGGTACAGAAACTGAGTTGCCCTTCTCTGCCAAATTTATTGGTGCTATTATATCATCTATGCGTGTGACTCATTCACAGACACCAGAGTGACATGTATTTTTGTGAGCTGCTGGGTAGAGTCAGGGATGAGTTGGCAATTGCACTGGGCTGGCAAAAGTGGCCTTACCTGAGTTGTTCTCCATGACTGTGTAGATGAGCTTGCACACCCGCAGCAGAAGCATCACCTTCTTCTCTGGTGAATACATCTTCTGCATCATCATGAACTTGACCTTGATCTTCTCCACATCCACCAAGTCAGGCGTCGGGGCGAAGACCCCCAGCTCCTGAGGGTTCCGTTGCCGCACAAGCTGCAGGTTCTCCTTCAGCTGTTTCCAGGAGCCATCAGCCATGTGGAAGTCCCTCAGCATGCCTTCCACGTGTCCCTTAAGGGGCTTCAGGATGCACTTGTGCATGGCCTTCTCCAGCACCACGTCTGCCAAAGAAAGAGTAGCCACCATGACCTTCTTCTGAAGAGGAAGGGACCAAACCTGGTTCCAGGCAGTGACTCACATGCTGGCAGTGGCTTTTCCCTAATCATCATGTCTAACTTGCATAAAATCATACAACAAAACATATTTGGGTTACTTTACACTCTCCTGTGAACACAGGCAAAATTTTTAGAGGACATTCTCTTTTTTTTTGGTACTGGGGATCAAACTCAGGAACTTGAACTTGTAAGGGTAGGCGCAGTGCCACTGAAAAAAATTCATTCTCTTCTCCTGCTGCCAGCAGAGTAAGTTGTTACCTTAAAGGAAATATTTTCTAAAAGCAAGGGTTCATGACTCCACAGAAATATTTTGAGAAAATAAATTCAATTAAATATATGACCTTGGATTGGATTCTGGACCAAACAATCCTTTACAGTGGTTCCTTGTTTCATGACAATTCTGGTTGCAAACCAAATTGGTTGAGAACCAAATCAAACTTTGCCATAAGGTCAACATTCAACCTAACTATTGAATTTGATTCGGTTTGTGACCAGAATCCTGAAAAGAATCAAGTTTGTGAACCGAAGTACCACTGTATTTCACTAGCTATAAAGATACCAGTAAGGCATTTGATGAGATGTGAATAAAATCTGCAGCTTAGGTAATAGTGTGATCACAGCTTCAGCATTAGTTTTCTGGGTTTGATAATTGTTATACAACAGAGAATTTGGCTTGTAGGAAATCTGTAGAAGTATTTAGGTGAAAAGGGGCATGATGTCTGCAGCTTATTCTTTAGGTTCAGAATAAAGAAGGGCATATATGCGTGCATGCATATGTGTGCCTGTGTTTGCGTGTGTGTGTGTGTTTAAGCGAGGGGAGAGAAAGATGGAGGATGAATTCTATGTGTCAAAGTGCTAACACTCTGGGATTCCGGGTGAAGGCTAGACATTTCTTTGTATTGTTTGTGCAACTTTCCTGTAAGTCTGACCTGATTTCAAAATTAAAAGTTAAAAAGAAATTAAGTGGGTTTCTGCTCAGAGTTAGGAAACAGCTTTAGGTGTGGGCAGCCTTACTGTTCCCCTCTTTTTGGAAGGGTTACCCAACAGAGTAGCTTTCTTGGCCAGGAACATAAATCTGGAGACTTAGGTGAAAAATTACTTACACAATGAGAAACCTTCTGCTTTTTCAGTACCTTCTTTTTATTTATTTATTTTTTTATTTTTTAATTTTTATTTTTTAATTTTTTTTTTTTTTGTCCCGGGGATGGAACTCGGGTCCTTGCGCTTGCAAGGCAAGCGATGGAACCGCTGAGCTAAATCCCCGGCTCCAGTACCTTCTTTTTAATCTCATGTGTTTGCACATGATCAAATCACCTGCATTCACAGCAGTGACTATACCTAATATGTGACACTTTAATGCGATTCTACCTTGGAGGCCCACAGATCCACTTATGTGTAAGACTGGAACTGGTTGGCTTATCTCTCTGACCTTTGGAATTCCTAACACTAGATCAGATCACAGCGAATCCAAATTATTAGCTATTATTAGAAGTCCAGGGACAGAGCACAATCTAAGCCAGATGTACAAATACTGAAAACAATTTTCCTGTCGCCTGAAGTTAAAACTGAGGCCAAAAGTTAATGCTGCTACCATAATGATCAGATTTCCAGCCCAAGTTTTACTTTGTTCCCACTTCCATATCCTATCTGGGAGATCTCTTTGTGGAAATTTAGAACTTTATAGAACCACAGAAAGAGAGGTTACGAAGGAAAAAGAAAACCAGAACAATACAATCACTTTACATTTGGCATTAAAGCAGATTCCCTGGTTTGCATTAGTGGTTTTGTGTCAATATACTCATGCAGGTGCATGGCATCTTTGACTTTGCCATATATAATCATTATCATAAAGTCAGTAATCCTACTAGGGCTCAGAGGGGTTAAGCTCTATCTGAATATTGTCATCAAATCCTCTCAGCAGCTCTGCCACATCTGCACAACACAAATACCATGCCACGTTACAGACGGAGAACCTGAGGTACAGAAATGTCTAATGGCTTTCTTGAGGCCACACAACTCCTTGAAACAAACTACTTTTCAAAGTAAATGATCTTTTAATTCTAAAGTTCAAAGTGCCTTCTAAATACTCACCATTTTATTTCTCTCATCCAAAAGTCTGGAAGCTCCATTTGTGATTATCAGGGGCCCTTACCTTGTTAGAATGGGGTCACCAAAGGGACAGGGAAAACTGTTGATCATTAATGAGGGGTGTACAGGAATGCTGGTGGCAGTGTTATTCTTATTTGTAAGAGCTCCCAATAGGAAAAGCCCAAAGCCCCATCTGGTGGATATATTGGGTGCATTCCTATAACTGGATACCACAATGGAATTCAGACAATGGACTGCATTCCTGCCATCCAAAAGAGCTCACTCAGCTCCAGGCAGTGTGGTGCAGGGACAGAGCTCATGCACACAATGCTGTGTGACAGGAGCTAGGCAGGAGCACCTCCTGCAGCAGCATTTCATTCACATGGATCCCAAAGGCAGGCAGAACTGACCTGGGTGTGGGAAGTCAGGGTGGCGGTCATCCTGGAAGGAACACAAGGACACTTTGCAGGAAATTGAGATGTTCCATTCTGGATCTGGGTGGTCGCTACCCAGATGTATGCCTGCGCAAAAAGCCACCCACCTTGACAATTAATGGTCTATGCACTTTGTGGATGCCAAGTTAAGCCTCCACAAACTGCATCAATCAGAGTTATAGAACACAACTGAAGACCTTCCTGTGATGTTCACCTCGAACTACAAGAGCAGCTCCTAACTTGGGAGTGTGCCTGGTCTCCTTTGGGAAGGAGTGTTTACACAGACGGTCTCCAGAGACTCTGAACTCTTCCTAGACACAACAGACCAGCTGCATGGCCACCACTGGAACAACTATTGAAGTCATTTTTCTGGAATTTGGTGGTAGCTTTGTTGACTGGCACCATCGATCCCTCCCTTGGTCTGGGCAGGTGTCTAGTGAGCGACCTTTGACATCAGAAGGTCACAAACTCCACCCTCCCAGCACACTAATGCTGCCACTTTCTGAACATTTCCTAGGGTTTCCTAGGAGGAGCCGTGAACTTTAGGAGGCAGGCGCAGAACACAGGTGACTCCCTTTTCCCACCTCTGTCACCTCTCCCTCCACCCTGTGTCTTTATCCTATAAGTATCCCTAGACTCTGCCCTCAGTGGGGCAGATCTGAGACTCAGGGATCCGTTTCCTTACATTTGGTGGCCCCAGGAATAAACTCTTTCTCTTTTGCAAAATGCCTCACTTCTGCAAGTGGCCCACTGAGCAGCGGGAAGACAGGCCTCATCTGTTAACAGTGCTAGATATTCTGAAATAAAAAAAGTGGCCCTGTGACCCTGTCACCTGCTGCCCTCTCTCCAGGAAGGAAACCCCAGTTCTGCTCCCTAGGCAGAGGGAAAAGAATTTGAGGAGTACAAGAAACAGAGGTACTCTCAGCAGGGGAATCAGCTCAGAAAAGGTAAGGGCACGGTGGCGGCCATACTTCCTTGTTTTCAATGATCTCTGGTTCCTTCGATTCCAACACAACAACCCCAAATATTTTACACTGAGAACAATGACAAGATTCTAGGAGCTTTATATACTGACTTCAACCCTCAAACCCCCTGTGCGAGGACTGTCCTTCTCCACGTCACAGAGGAGGAATGTGGAACCCAAAGGGAAAAAGTCCTGAAGCCAGCAAGGGATGAAGCCCCATCCTGGAGCCACACCCACACCCAGGACCCATCCTCCCAGAGCCCACAAGGTCATGTGCTCATCCTTGAGCAAAGATACAATCCGAGCTTGGAAATCCTGAAACCATTAAAGACAGATGAATAGGGGACAACGATTTTTTGTGAAGATCACTGATGGAATCTATTTTCAATTTTTCTAATAACAAGAAAATACTGGAGAATTGTTTGAACTATAACATTTTGGGTTTTAGAAACCAGTGTTAGCTGTACTTTGTGGTCCTCACAATAAACCCAGGGTTTTTGTTTTGTTTTTTGTTTTTGTGGTACTGGTGCTGAACCCAGGCCACTGAAGGACCAAAAATGGAAACAAGATCGAAAATCTGTGTACAGATCACATCACTTGGTCACAAAGGTCTTCCATGAAGGGGAAATGGTAGAGCCCACAGCCACAGAGTGGGTTCTCCTGGCGTTAATGCAGCAGTGATAGGAAATAGCGTGTTCACCACTGGTTGAGAAGTGGTTCCCTGTTGCTACTTCTGCAACAACTTATTCTCTCTCTGATTAAGAAAAGGAGATAAAATATGTCTTTTTTCCTTTGCCCTGACTTACAGCATAGATACCAGAGGTTGGAGATCAGAGGAGGCAGTATCATAGTCTCCAGTAATGCCCGGGCCTGTTAGCAGGGTGTGATGGTGCATACCTGTAATTCCAACACTCTGGGAGGCTGAGGAAGGAGGATTGAAGTTCAAACCCAGGCTGGCAACTTAGATACTATCTCAAAATAGAGTAGTGATGTTGGGGCTGGGGATTTAGCTCAGTGGTTCAGGTGCCGGGCTAAGAAGCACAATGTCCCGAGTTTGATCCCCGGTACCAAAAAAAAAAAAGTAGTGGTGTCAAACCTACAGCACATGTGTCTCAGCAGCCTGATTGTATTATTAAAGATCTAAAAGATTAGCCATCACAGAAATAAAGAATAAAAAGCTCAGTGTGGAGAGCCTAGTGACTGCTAACACAGCACAAGGTAACGATATTCTTCAGGGGATGCCAACAGTGCCCAGAGTTTACACAACGTATTAGCGTGGAGTGTCCCTTATCTGCAACGTGTAGGACCACAAATGTTTCAGATGCCAGAGTTTCTCAGAGTTTGGAATATTGGCAAAGACTTTACAAGTGGAGCATCCCTGATCCAGAAATCAAAGCTGAAACTGCTGGAACGTATGATGCAATGCTTCATACTTCAAAACATTCTGGATTTCAGAATTT